GCACCTCAACATTAAAAGAAGAAAAATGAGTTGGGAAGATGATTTTCTTTCTTTACTAAAAGTAAGGCAAGCGGGGGGGGGGCGTCAGGCTGTCGAAAAATCCGCGCGGAGAGACAAACCTTAAGCTGAGACCAAGACAAGCTATACTAACCAAGACAATCCACAAAACACGCCGGCAGGCCGGCGGATTCTTTTTGTGTAGGTTCTCCGTGTTTCTTTGGTGGGACTTGGCTGATTGCTTTTGGGCTTGGCCTCTATGATCGCCATCATCCATGTTTTTCTTGACTTGTAGCGGAACTATCTTGGCAGGACATTGAGGATGACTTGAAGTTCATTGGCCGTTTAAAAGAGCGCTGGTGTGTGGAGGCCAGGAGAACCTTTTTAACTTTTTTCTTGGATGTATTAGAAGGTCTATTACCATATTTCCAAATCGACAACACGTGCCTACATAATAGTATGCACGGTATACCGATGCATTTACATGTAGCTCCAACCAGCCCAGTTGTCAGTTTAGATCAGTACCCGTAGCCACCTGTCTTGTATTTATGATGGACGTTTTCTTGATTGCACTTTTGTAGTAGTAGATATTGGACCAATAACTTACTCAGATTACAATAGTGGTCACGAATGAACTTAACTTTATATTGCACCAAACGCTTCGTGCGGGTATGCAAGGACGGAACAATAGGCTAGGCCAATACTGCAAAGAGAAGAGTTGTGTGTACGAAGTGCAGGGAAAGCAAGAGCTTTCAGGCTAAGGAGATCCAAGCCCCTGGGTACGCGGACTTTTTCTTGGTTTTGATCAACCAGCATCCACCCCTTTCAGCCCTTGCAGAGATACAATTGGCCAATTCGTCGGTATGTATATATTTGTGTATTGGCATTGGTCATATGGGTCATTCACAGCATGACATGCTTGATTCAGAAATAGAGAAACACATCCAACACCAGTCCAGAAATAGAAAATGAATCACTGTAAGAGATTTTAATATGGTCCAAGCGGATTTTCCAGGAGGAGAAAGGGAAAGCGGGCGAGCTACAGGCGCGGTGCATGTGCTCCTTCCTGGTTCGTCTCTCTTTACGTATCCATTTTAACTCAAAGATGTGCTCATACGTGTACAGAAACTGTTCCAAAAACAGATTTTTGCTGCGAAGGAGATGTGAGGAGTCATCATGGCCACACGAGGAGTACATAGATTGAGCCGTCGCGCAGGCCACTGGCCTTCGCGACGGTTCCATGCCACAACTTCTTCCATGCTTGTCGCTGCCCCAGGTCAAGTCAACAAACAAGTCCTGTTAACTTTTCAAGCCAAGCAGTCCTTTATGTGATGAGCCTGCAGTCACTGACCCCTGAAGGCCAGAAAGTCAACAAAAACAAATCTATACTAGTCTATATGAGTTCTTCTCTCGCAGGTCAAATTCTTGAAACGGTGAAAGGACAGACGTGCTTGGACCTGAGTGCTGAGGCATTGTCGCTACTCTGAGGAGCTGAGCTAACGGCAGGGTTGGCGATCCAGCTCAAGATTCATGATCTCTACTGGGCCTCCAATACAAGCCTCCAATCACGGTAGACACCATGTACACAAACACCTTTGGGGTGCAGGCTAGCCTCCCAACTGTTCGCACATGTTTTAGAAAGCAGAGGCTGACTTCAATTGGCTTCCCTCACACATAAGGTAATTACAGCTTCGGTGTGATGCGAGTCACTCAGCAGTTTAGAAGCTTCTCAGTGAGTAAACTCTTCGGTCCGGTTTTTTTCGCATGGGTCATCCCTTCTGTGATCTCCATGGACCCTGGGTCCGTTGGGTCCCCGCGACAAGGACCACTCAGCTTGCGATGCCTGGTTGCGGGACTTGAGTGTGAGGACAGACATCAACCTCCAGGAGGGATCCCGATCGGAATCCTGTTGTCTTCAGCATTTGCAGATTTATGTGACATGTTTACAAGACAGAATGGCTTCGACTGACAGCAAGCAGGTCATCCCAGTTGGTCTCACATCGCCTGGGCTTTTGTCAGGCTCGAAGAAAGAAGAAGCTCCGATGATTGATGCCGCAGGTGCCATTAGTGGACACCAGACTGAACAATTCCTAAAGAAGAAGCAAGATGGTAAGTTTTCCCAATAAATCCAGGAACCAAATGATTAGTGCGAGCGCTTCTGCAAGGAAGCTAGTAGCTTACTCAGCCCTTACTTTATTAAGTAGGTGCCTACTTAATTACTGTAAGTAGTAGGGGGGCAGAGCCGGCAAGAAAGAGAGATCTACAGTGGCCTTTTCGGTTGATGAGCTGATGCACCTCGTCCCTTGCCACCGACACCGGACCTCACGACATGGCTAGCTCGTTTGCAGGTGACCTCAGCGATGCTTGGGTCTGAGACTCTGTTCTGCCAGGTTCGCTCCGCACAGTCGGATTCGTTGTTTATTTTTTTCCCTACAATTCATTGCATGGTAGCTTTGCGGACGTACATTCCTTCGTGCACGAAGGAGACACCGCAGCATGCAATCCTTGGAGAGTGTTTAGAGAATTCAGAGAGTTCCACTGGAGCGAAACCAAAACAGCCGAGCACAGCGTACCTTGCATGTTTTACAGTACTTGTTGGCAGCCTTTCTCGATGTGCTTGTTGATAGTGCGTTACATGGGAACCTAGCATGAGTTTCATTCTTAGGGTCTTGGGGGCATTTGCAAGAAAAGAGACTTGCCACTGTTGCATTGTTGTTTTTCTTGTGTGACTGTGATTGGTTGCTTGTTTTCTTTAAGGTCCTTTTCTTTTTGTTTCTTTTGCTTGTGCTGTCCCTTTCAAACAGCCAGTGTATCTTCTCTTTCTTTTCCTGTCAAAAAGCTTGCCATTTCCGTTTTTTGTCATACCCTGGTCCGTGCGTGGCTCTTTTGTGTTTCCTTTGTTTTCTTCTTATTGTGATTGTATTTATATAGCTTGTGCTGGTTTGTTAAATTGAATAGCGTTGTTTGTTTGTTTGTTTGTTTGTCTGTCTGTCTGTCTGTCTGTCTGTCTGTCTGTTTGTTTGTTTGTTTGTTTGCTGCTTTGCTTTGCTTTGCTTTGTTTCGCTTTGATTTGAATTGCTTGGTCGGCCGGACAGCTATTTGTGTTGCCATGTTTTGAACCCGCGAACCCCATCATGCAATGCTCAAGTCAAGGACTGGGGTTCAAATTGTTCACGATGTTTTGCATCGCAGTTGAATATGAGAAGACTGCTCTTTTCTTGTGTGGATTCTTTGAGATGACGGCAGCCTCTGTACTCATGCATGACATGTGCCTGTGCCACAGTGGAGGTCATGTCATTCATCGAACAACTTTGCGAGATCAAACTCCCTTGAAGCCTTGGCCTTGAACCAATATTTAGATAGATAGGATCTATCTGAAAGGGGGGTATGCTGGGACATCTTGAGTGGTGGTACGTAGCTAGTAAAACTTCCGCAACTTGGGTAGAATGTTGACCCTAGTGCGTGTTCTCAAATTCCTTCTATTGCCTTTCCAAGCAATAGTGGATTGCTGCTTCGACTGCTCTGTGGAGCTTTTGCCATGGACTAGAGTCCAGGATTTGCAGGTCAAATGTGCAGTGCTGATTCGTCCGTTGCATCCATTTTGGCGGGTGTGACCAGCAGCACACATGTCTTTCCCAGAGGAATCTGGACGTACAAGAGCGGCAATGGCAGATTGCTTACTTACACCATTTCCTCTTCAGGTGCAGGTCACATTCAAGCATTTTTAGACACTTGCTGTACTGGCGCGAAAGGTCATTTGCAACAAACGTAGGGTGTGAGCTTTGTTGCGAAAAATGCTCTTGGAGTTCCTTTTCTTACATTGTTTAGCATTGTTTATGCTGTTTCATATGGTTTTATCGTTTTCAATGCCGTTTCAGAAGATTTCTCAACTCCCTGAGGTGAGTTTAAAGCAGAAGCTGCCAGGAAGAAGATCAAGGGCACGGGGCAACTGCGCCAGATTGCTCCATGGAGGTGGTCTGCAGAGATCTCGGGGCTGTTTTCTGGGAAGATGGAATTTCATTTGGACGAGGCATGTGGGTTTTAGATGAAACAGCTGTTTCACATAAATAATATATATGTGCCAGGAGTTGGTTTTTCCCCCTTTTTTTTCAGATTGTGGAGACTTTTTTTCTGCATTCTGATTCTCATTCTTCGACGATTTCTTTTTCTTTGATCGGATTCTTCGGATTCAGACGGTGAGACTGCCACTCAGACCTTGTTGTTTTGAATTGTTTTTCAACCGTAAGCGTCGCCGGTGCAGGACTGCCGCCTGGTCACTGAATTCGCCAGCGACGGAGGGCGGCTGATGAAGATCACCGCCATGGCAGAAGCGAACCCCTTGCCTCCGCCCCAGGTCGTCAAAGAGAGCTGGCTTTCCTGCTTGGATGACATCTTGACCTGTGCAATCAATAGAGATGAAGTGGAAGTGATGACACTCCATGAAGCGGAAGCGATGAGAGCACTCCATAAGGCCAGAAGTTGCATCAGCAAAAATGTTGCAAGTTGATCGGAATTTGGTGCTTAGGGGAATTGGTGCGCGGTCTCTGTTCTCCAAATTTGGAAACTGTGTTTTTTGCGTGAAGGCTAGATGTCGGGCCCTGTCGGGGGTCGCCAGGTGTTTGATTTGGTAGATGGCTTTAACCGACGCTTCAAGAGCTGCCGGTCCATTGGCAACCCAGTCTTCGATCACTTCATGACGCAGGTGCCCGTCGCTTGCATCCTATCACTTTTGGCTCGGAGTATATTTGGGGTCTAAACCCCCACAAGGACCATAGTGTGTTGTTGACAGTTCTTTCTTTTTTGCTACCACCTTGAAGGTGACGCAGAAAGTGGCTGCGACCATTGATGAAGACCATGTCCAATGTCCGAACTGGCCTTGGCGCATCATTTGGGCTACTCATGTGCTGCAATGTGTCTTATCCCGGTTGGAACACGTGACTTGGAGATCTCGTATGTTCCCAAGCTCTCCATTCAAGAACAGCCTGGATTCCTGCCGCCATGCATACGCGACAGCCTTGAGATATTGCGCAGGACACTTTGATGATTTTCTGGCCCATACCAGTCGGGAATGCCAAAGAGATTTGGGGGACAAGGTGCAGAAGCTCACGGAAGTGGATACAGCAGGAACCCTTCCATATGTCCGCCTTCTGGAGCTCTCAGCGACTCTTGCCAGCTTAAATGACAGGGCTTTGGCTGTTGACGAGAAGTCTGCCAGGAAGTCTGCTTTCAACCTGGAAGAGCTTGTGGCCAGATGCGTGAGACAAGCGGAAGATTTTCAAGCCTTTTGCGCGGAGGTGTCTCCCATCATGGTGCTAGCAGCTTGCGCAGGTGTGCATGAGGAGGCAGACTGCGTGCGCCGAGTTTCCCATTGCGCGTCTAAGGTGCATTTAGAGTATATATATATATATTATATATATATATTTGTAGATGTTGCTTTGAACCTGCCTTTTCAGTGTTTTTCACATGGTCTTTGTTTCATCAACAAAAAACAATATATATCTCTTCAGTCGGGGCTCCTCTTTGAAATCTTCTTGCTTCTGCACTGGAGATCACCCAGGTGAAGTACTCGAGTGAGCTCCTGGAAGGTGAAAGCAATAATTCAGTCCTGAAGCTTGCAGCTGCTGCATGCTGCCAGAGTCTTAGAATTCAGCATATGTTGAGACTGTTGGGACTACATAGATTCGATTGCTGACAGTTGTTGAATGCTGACCAAGTGCAAGAGATTTGCTGAATAATCTCCATCAAACACTTGTGTAGTAACATTATGTAACATTTACATGCCAACTTCTCACTTGAATGGCATTGATTTGGCCATCTATGGCACAGGTCCACGAGCACAGAGGCTTTTAGTACCCGTGGTGCAAGCGCTTTGTGCCCAGCCTTCAGTGAAGCGCCACATGGTCCCCAGCCGCCGAGGAAAAGACCCTTGGCCTGTGGCACTCTCTGCCTCCTCTTTTGTCGGTGTCGGTTTTGCGGGTGTCGCTGCGGCTCTTGGGACGGCTGAGGACGCAGCGGAAAGCATTGCTGAGAACATGCTGCTCCCTCTGCTGAGACATTATCCTGCAGCTGACCTGCAGATGTTGGTGACCTCCATTGCTATCCATCAAATAGAACGTAAATGGTCAGGCAGAGAAGTCCTTAATTGTCTCCTGCATGTGGAAGAGCTTTTGCGCTCACACTTGGAGAAAGACATGAATGAAGGTGAAGAAGAGAACCTCTCGAACCTACGCGTGGAACTTCATTCCCATGACTTCCTCTGCAAAGTGGTGCTGGGGGCATGTACCAAACATGCTTCGTTTGCCTCACAATTTCTCTGTGCTCTGCCCGATGCAAATATCGACCCCAATGGTGCATGGAAAGTCAGCATGAAACTATTCAAGCTTGTCCATCCAGGCTGGGGGAGTTGCGCATTTTGTTTTTTTCCACATGTTGTTCTTGTGCTGAGGCCAGCCTTCCAACCTGTGAAAGATAGACATTCTTGTCTCTATTTCATAGATGCGTTTGTTGAGTTTTTTGTTAGGTGCGCTACCTGAAGACGCTTCAAAGCATTTGCTGCGTTTCTGCTCCAGCTGTCCGAAGTACTCCCAACTGCTCCTCTCAGTCCTGAGAACCTTTCCGCCCCTTGGATTTGATGGCTTCAAGAAGAGCATCCCCTTCATGACCTTTGTATTATTTTTTCCCCAGATAGCGATAGCTATGGGGTTCATACTTCAAACAAGAATGAGCTGCCCATGCGCGCTTTCGAGACGCGCTGCCTGCTGGGTGCCGGTGCTGTGAGCTAACGCTGCGCGCGTTTTCTAGAGACAGGGTGCCCTCTGGCCGGCCTACTGCGGAGTGACTTTAAAAACTAGAACTAGATTTCGGGGTCTCAGATGCTTTTGGTTTTAAAGCCAGTTGCTATCTGGGGTCTATGCCGGTGCAATCTTTGTTTTCTAACTCGTGCCACTCGTGGCTTCAGGTTCAGTGCCCGCCGCTTCAGAATCCTGCAAGACTTGAAGCGGCAGGGATTGCTCGAGGAGCCCGAAGCACACTATTGACACTGTAGATATATGATATATGAGTACCCTGCCGCTCAGAACCCTGCCAGGTTGTTACCAGTACTATTTTTAACGCACGAAATAAAAAACATGTGACCTTTCGTTCCATACCTCATGTCAGACGGCTCTAGGGTCATCAACCTAATGGCCATCAAAGGGATGGATGTCCATTATCCATATTATGAGTGTTGACCATGATTCATCTGAAATAACTTGGCTGCCATGTTGTATGTTCGCCTCAGAGTTTTGGTACGCAGCCATGCCATTTTGTGAAAGTTTTTCCCGTATTTGGTTTATGCAGGAGACATGTGCAGCCGCAGCTCGTGCGATTCTCATGGGAAATAGCGAGTCGCTGTGGAGCGTGCCTATCTCCCATGCAACAAGCTACTTGATTCATTGCTACCCATGTGGACCTGCAGAAGGTAGTACTAGGCAGTGGGTAGGTAGTGAGGGTAGTGGCAGGTTCGCAGCTTCGAAGCAGTCCTTGTCATCCTGGTGTCACGCAGTCCCCCTTTCAGCGGCCGCCGTCAATCGAGCAGGGAGTAGGAGAGAGTTCGGATTACTTCAGGTTCAGGTGCCGACTGGCTGGTTTTGCTTTTCCTGGAGATTTGCATTCCAAGCCTTTCTGATGCGCCACCCAACTCTGAGAAGGAGAAGGACATCCCATGACTTGGTAGGCTTGTGTTCATAATAGCCCGCTGTAAGTCTTCGGCTCTCCGCGGAACCAGGAGTTCTTACAATGGCTGGGTGCAGAAGAACGTCTTCGCTGCCCGCAGTTGGTGTCCCGGCGCCTTGTTCAAAGTGGCCAGCTGATCCATCCGTGGCTCGCAAGTATTCCTGATATGCCCGACTGGTCAATGCAGTGGAGGGCCATCAGCCAGGTAAACTGGCCATCTCTCACCTTGTTAATAGATGTCTTTGGTGGCAAGGAGAATGACCAACTTCCAGCAGCTTGACACGCACAGGTGCTTCTTGCGCAATTGGGCTGTTGAACAGCTTGGTGAATCACTCAACTGGCAGTTGAAGTGCTTGGCCTTTAAATTCCGTATACCATAGGAACTTTACAAGAAGTTTGCTCCTTCCACGGAGTTAAAGCAAGCTGACTTGTGACCACTGTCACAAGTTTACAAGTTTGACTTATTGAAGACGTTCCTTTCGTTTGCTTCATCCCAGGCGGCCTTGGAGTTTTTCCGTCGCCTCGGCTCTGCCATCACGGAGGGCCACTTGACGTCTCGGGCGTACCACGAGCTGGCCTGTGTGGGTCGGGGCTTGGCGAAGCCCAACTTACAGATGCTCGTGGAGACTTTGCAGGCCAGGTCGAGGGGTTGCTCGTTAGGCCATGTCCAGTCTCAGATGGACCTCTCTAGTTCAGCAGATGGTTTTGTGGATGAAATTAGTGGGTTCACAACTAGATTGCTGGGCTGAACCCTTGAGGCGATTTGTGCTTTGGACTCTGAAAGACTGGCTGAGCTCGATGAGCAGTGCGAAGAGCTGCGGCTGGAAATGCAGCGCCACTCGCAGCTTCTCGAGTGGCTGGTAAGCAGATGGAATTTCTTCGAGATGGGTGAGCTTCAACGGCAAATCAAGCAGAAGCTTGGGGAAACTGAGGAACTCACGTTGGCAGCCTTGGAGGAGACAGTGAAGCAAGCAAGGAATGCCTTCAACCGGTTCAGCCACAGCAAAGACAATAAAAACTTTGAGTTTCTGCAGTATTTCCTTCGAGCTGGCTCTGTGTTGGTGAATCCATGTCTGGAGCATTTTGCCAAGATTAATGCATCCCAGCAGAGCGAATGGTGCCTAGACTCTGCGAGCACCCTTGACATTGAAGGGTTTGGCGATGTGGTGCAAAGCTGCTCTCAAAGCCTTGCAGTTTTGGCCCTAGGGGGTGAGAATGACAGAGGAGCCCAGCAGACGGTGGAGAAATGCTTCTTCTCGCTTGTCAGCCAAGAGCTGTCCAAGCTTAGTGAAAAGAAGATGCAGGAAGAAGTAGGCTTGCTGCTGGAGTACTTTGGATCCATTGCCAAGAATCGAGATGGCACAAGGGATGTCACCATGGGTGTGCCGTCTGAGCCGGATCTGGACCCCTGGCGAAGCCGACGAAAGGTGCTACTGGACGCCTTCAGGGTGCATCAGATTGCCCAGTCAGTGCAAAACCTGCAGAGGGCTTTCCAAGTCATGCGCCAGGACCAGCTTTTGACTTGCGAGTGCTTCAAGCAGATACAGGATATTGCTGAAAAAGTGCTCAAGAGTTCACGAGTGAATATCCAGGCAGATGCAGCCAAGCTTTCTGAGCTCCGTGGATTGGGCTTTGCAGATGACTTTCACCCACAGCTTTTCCAGACCCTGGAGCAAAGGCAGGATGAAGATGTGGGTTGATCATGTAAGAGTCAAGAGCATCTTGTGCAATTCATCAAGTACTAAAGCACTGATTCATTTGGCTCTGGGTCAAAACCCGGAGCCCTAATCCCTGGTAGATTGATCTCCCAGGTCAACCAAGGTATCCTGGTTTTGACCCGTCCCCATTTGTTGAAGACCAATTTGCCCTGAGGGTGTGCATCTTTGATTTCCTGCTGGAGAGAAAGTTCATCGGAGAGGAAGGCTTTCAGGGTTTTCAAGAGTGCCTTAGCATCGCCAGACAAAGACTTGAAGAGGACATCCAGGTGCCTGGATTTTCTATTCAGCTTTAGCGTGCTTTAGCTTTCTTTATGGAGGTCAACAGAGATTTACAGTCATACACCAGAACTTTTTGGGTACACTCAGGTGCGGCAGGCTTTGCTTGAAGAGCTACGCCATTGTGCCAAAGTCTTGTCAAACTTTCCGGCATTGGATGCACATCCTCACCATGAACCAGAACGTTCCGACCCTTGTTTGTGAAGAGTGCCTGTTTGGATCCTGTTTGTGGATGAGCAGTTGATGTTTGGGACCGGCTCAGCAAATCTCATGAAGCTTCATCAATTTGAGGCGATGCTCGTTCGACTTCTTGCAGGGCTGACAACAAGCCAGGCCTTAGACTTGATGGCTTAGGCATGCTATCAAAGCTCCAATGTGACAACTTTGGTGGTTTGCATTCGAGATAGATTTTGTGTGGGCTTTGAAGAGGTATGCTGGGATGCTCGGATGCTGAGCAGTCTTGTTATCCATGCTCAGTTCCATTCTTCCACCCCAAATGGGTCTACACTCACCAAACAGCCCATGCACCAAAGAGGCCGTCCATGTGCCAGGTGAAGATCGAGTCCTTCACCTCCGTGGCGGCTCAGTTGGATTTGCTTTCTGCCATTTTTGATAGCCTGCTGGGCACTGGTAGCCAGCTGCTGGTCTACACTGTGCCTTGGATGGTGAGTGGAGTTGCTTTGGGTAGAAAAAGACCAAACAGCGAGACAGTGTTGTTTGGAAATCACCCCAAACAGGGTCGGAGGACTAGTCCTCAAGACCAGCCCTAGAACCCCAGGCCCACTCACTACTCTCTCTCTCTCTCTCTCTGTGTAGCTGTCCGCTGCGAGCGACATTAACGACATACTTACTTGTTAAGTCAGAGTCGTCGCCAGAGTTTGTAGTTGGGGTTTTGTAGAACTTCTTTGCATTGTAGTGCTGTTCTTTTTTTGCATGGGCAGGCTTAAGCTTGTAGATGTCTGCGGAAAGCATAGGTGGGAGGCACCAGTAGACACACAAACACACACTTGAGAAGGTTGCTCCGTGGAGCGTGATTTCAGGCTGCTTCGCGGTGTGCATTAGCCCTTTACATTTAGGTACAGCATTAGCCGAGAGCATTAGCACTTTATTGCAAAATCAACGTATGAGACAGCGTTGAACTGACTTAGAAGCATCAATGAGTGAAAATTAAAAATTGCAGGTACAAGATACTGCGTCCAGTATCTCTTCCAACCGAACACCATAGCTTTGTTGGCACGGCTAGGTGAACGGCCGCCGTGCCCCCTGCTACTGTACAGTGGTTGGAAGATTCGTAGGGTAGGTTAGAACGAGAACTAGAGTATAGTGTCCTTGGAAACAGGATTGGACACACACAAAGAGCCGTATCGGCGCAACTAGATCGGATCAGGTAGGACCTGGATAATAAATAGTGGAAGGGCTGGACATCGAAAAAGTTCAAGACTGTAAATTGTATACAACGACAGTCTGTGAAGGTGCTGGCGCATGGTCTTTTTCCTCGTGGCCGCAGCGCCGCGGCGCAGTGTTCTTTTGAATGACCTTTGGTCATATAGAGCTGCATCAACTGCTGTGCTGTCGTGGGTACTAGATGTTTTGGGAAAGTCTACTTTTGTAGCGTGTGGTGGCGTGATTGTAGGCCTGAGAGGCGTAGTCTGTGACTCCCTGCAGACTGCGGATCACGAATCTGCCAGGGATGAGCGGGGAGTTGAAAGGTGGCCGTTCTGTTGAGTGGATCGATCAGGAAACCGAGTAGATGGTCGTCGTCCACTGGCTCTATTTCAACTGGGTGTTCATAAAACTCAGGATGGGCCAAAGTGGTGATGGGGAGTGCTGACCTGTATTGTTCGTTGAGCAAAATGTATCGGCTGTCAACGTAGCGGGTGTTGAGCAAATGAAGGCTGGGTTGGTGCAAGAAATTGTGGTACGTGGTTTGCCATGTGTGTTCGATGAGTGTGATTGCGACATTGCAAAGTGCTGGTGAGAGCTGACTGCCAATGCCTGCTCCTTGGATTTGTTTGTAGTAGGTGTTGCATGCTTGGAAAATGCATGAGTGAAGGGCTTGTTGTACAATGAGGGGGATGTGTTGAGTGTCCAGGGTGCGTTGTTGTGGGTGGTGAATGTAGTGTCGACCAATGTGGGAGTGTTGGAGGGGTTTGCCAGTAGACTGAACATCTATGGTGATGGTGGTAGTATTGTGTTGTGTTTTCCAGCGGTGGCATAGGCTGATGACTGCATCGACGAGGCGTTGCTGAGGTACACTGTTGAAGAAGCCGACGAGGTCATCATTGATTGGTGTGAGGTGGATGTCGTCGGGTGTGGTCTGGAAGTGGTTGTGGAGATGTTGCCACAGGTTGGGTATGGATAACTGGCCTGGATGTTGTGGTAGAAGATGAAGGAGCATGATGTCTAATGCTTTGGAGGTGGCTCGTAGTAGTGTGCCAGCAATGGATCTGAAGTAGCTGATGACTGTTCTACCTTTGCGCCAAGATTTCTTTTGTTTGAGGAAGACTACACCATGTGGCGTGTAGAATTGCTTGCGGAATCCCCATGGGTAGGCTCGACGTATGCTGGCGGGGAACGATTGTGTGAGAAACTGGTGAAGTTGTTGGGCAGTGAGATCTGGTAGTGGTAGAAATAATTGTGGTGTATTCCAAGTGGTGAGACATCCGTGAAAGTAGTGTTGTGGACAGAAAAGTCGCAAATTTTGTAATTCGTGGTCGGCATGATGGAGTACCAGCTTGTCTGTAAGAAACTGTTGAAGCTGTGTAACGTTGCGGGATGTAAAGCGTGGGGTGTATAGAATGTTGTCGATGCGCTGTTTCCATTGTTGGTGTAGAAAAGGTAGGCTGTGTTGATGGAGGGCGGTGGGTAGACCATGGTGTCGTAGCCAGTGAATGAGTTGTTGTTCAAAATGTTGGAAATATTGTGTCTTTGTGGGAAAGAATGTGCTGTTCATGTTGGCCTGTAGGAATAGTTCAAGATGGCTGGGTAGCTGTAGGTCGTCAAGTGTAAGCACGTAGTGGCCATCATAGAGCTGCGGTGTGTGGTTGGGGCGAAGCAGGGTGTGCATGTGGTGGCAGCTGCATGGCGTGTCAGCTGCTGAGGGATGTGCGGAGAAGAGTTCCTCCCAACGTTTGTGGTTGTAGAGCCGTGAACGTAAAGTCTTGTGTGCTGCTTCACGTAATTTGGTGGTAGGTGGGTGGAAGGGAATGACGTGATGCATGTGGTGTTGGATCAATGTACGAAGCCATTTTTCCGTGGAGGACGAGAAGGTACTGTGGGAGAGGAAAGGAATGGTGAAGGGTTTGTTGGCTTTTGGTGGAGTGAGATTGCGAAAGCTGAGCGCTGATTGGAGAAGGTGAAGGACACGTGATCGATCTGGTTCCTCTAAGCTGGCGGCCATTCGACGGAAGGCATAAATTTCGAGATCAGTGTATTTGCCGCTGCGGATGGCTGTTGATGTTTCAAAAGATGAACGTGTATGTTTGCTGAGCTCTCGTAAAACTGTCAGGGCGTGTAGGCGTTGACTTGTGTGAAGGTGGGGCTGCTTAATGGTGTGTTGTCGTCGTCGTAGCCGTTGGAAGAGACGTTTGTGAGTGGACATGCGTGTGAAAGTGGTGCGGTGTTTTGAGAATTGCCAACCTGAGGCTTTGAGTTTGAGGTGTCGTTGAATGTATGGCCAATTGAGTGTAGGTTGCCATTCCTGGATCCGCAAGTGTTCGTAAGTCCATGCTTGATCATAGGTGTCGTGATGGGAAAGGTAGATGGTACTGTAGTGGTGGAGGTTGTTCTTGGAGTGCCAGTAGCGTAGGGAAAGTTCAGCTGAAATTGGATGGTTGTTGTGTAATTGTTTGAGTTTTGCATGGCGATTGTATTCTCGCTTTGGAATAGTGATACTGGTAGAGCCGATGTACGTGTGTCCATGTTGGTGGTACTGGTGTCTTGTGTGATGTTGGTTGAAAAAGAGCTTTGCATAGACCGCATTAGGATGTGTGAACAATTGGTAGTGGTAGGTGTGTGGTGTAACTTGTAGTTGGTTGAAACGGGAGCGCCAATGTATAGAGTGATGTGTTTGAGAGGGAAAGGCAAAGAGGCATGTAAGGTGAATAAGACTGACAGAAAAAATAGCGTGTGACTTGTCAATGTAGGGGGTGAAATGGACAAAGTGTGATAGCGCTGTGTGCAATGTAGTTAAAGATTGTAGGGTAAGATGTGTTGGTTGATGCAGCGCTTGTTGTGCGAGTCAGGCTGCCAATGCCGAGCCCGCGGCCACCAATTGCTGTAGTGAACGTGGGGGAAGCTTGAGGACCCGAGCAAGCGGGATGCCGTAGCGGGTAGCTGCTTCTTGGAGCTGTTCTTTTGTGATACGTTCATCTCGAAGAATTTGCTGGATGTTGTTGACTTGTGTCTGAGTGGCTGGTGGTAATGTCTTGAGCCATTTTTGAATGCCCGCTGCTGCATAGTTGGCTGGTGAGTTGTCATGGAGTGTTTGTGTGGTGGGGTTGAGAATGGTGTTGGTTGTAATTGCGGAAGGGGCTGTAAGTGGGAGATGTGGTGGGTGGGTGGCGGATGATGGGGCAGGGTGTGGCCCCGGCTTGGTTGGTGTGAGTGCAATGCCATGATTATTCAACTTGTCGCGAGCGCGCTGGAGTTCGCTCTCTTGTTGTTGCAAGCGATCAGTCTGTAGCTGGAGCTTTCGGAGTGCTGCGCCTTCGCCGGCTGGTGGTGTAAGGCCTCGTAGGAAGTCAATGATGCGAGAAATAAGTGGTTGCATGAATTGCTTGGCCTCTGTTGTTTTGTTTGGAATGGACTGATCAGCTTGTTGGTGCAAGTATTCAGCGATGTTGTCGATGTCCAGGTTGTGGGCCCGCATCTCAGGCAGCAATTGTGAAGTGAATACAGCTTCCGCGATGGATCTGGTGGTGACTATGCCTGTGTAGCGTCCTTGGGATAGGATGCGGAGGCTGTGGTCCTGTAGGCCAAAACGGCTGAGCTGCCACGGAAAAATGTCGAGGACTTGTTGTCCTGCGAGGTTGTATTTCCTGGACCATTGTGTCGGCTGGATCGTCCGGAATAATGTGTGACCATGTACGGTATTTGTATCCAAATGTGTGTCGCTGGGGGTCCATGTGTCAGGTAGGTTGGGAATGTTGGGGGGTACAACGCCAAGCTGTGGAGGCGTTGGGTGGTGAGATGCTGCGGGTGGGGGCAAGGGTTCGGGTGGAAACGTTGCGGGTGGTGCTGGAGAGGCTGTGGGTGGATCGGCAGGGATGTTTGCGTGATGTTGATGATGTTGGTGATAAGGGTGTTGGTAGTGATGACGCACTGCGTTGGTGAGAGGTCCATAGCCGGCAGTGGGTGTCGTGGTGCCATAGTATTGTTGCCACCATTGTTGATGCGCGTCCATGATGGGGAACACTGTAGTTCCGTACAAAAAGGAGCGTTGAGCACGAGGGTAGTCGAAACTGATTGTTTGAACCACAATGGCTGAAGTGTTGAAAAAGTTGAGACTGGAGCGAAGTTGAAGATTTCGAAGTTGAACAGTCGTCCGAAGCTCGAGTGGTAAGCGTCAGAAAATCGAAAACCGAAAATCTCGAAGATCGAAATAAGAAAGAAAAATAGAATCAATTCTGGAAGTATTTTGCAATAGCTGGAAGGATCGATATGCTGAAAGCATTGGGTCAAAAACCATGTACATAGAATCAAAGACCTTGAATTAGGTCTGGCGCTCTCTCACGGTGGTGCTCCAGCATCATCCCACCAGGGTCCAGGAGGTCCCGTGCCCGCTTCTGGATGATTGGGTCGAATGTTGGTGGGTGTGGGCAGGTAGTAAATGGTGGGTGTGCTGTTGGATGTAGATGCGGGTGGTGCTGAGATCGGCCCGATAGCCGTCAGTGTGGCGTGTCCCTGTAGGGGAATGCGGATGTTGTAAACTTGGGTGGGGTCACAT